CTGTTGGGCTTGGACATTGACTCACGATTCTTTTGTATCATTCTCAATTGGATGGTTACTCGGTTCCATTGTGCTATCTGCTCTGGCTTTGACTATTTGGACTTCAGTGTGATTTTGCATTCTGGATTTCTGTGCTTCGTCCATATTCATGTTCCTTGCAATATGACAAAGAGGGTTCAGTTGGAAATTCATCCTGTACTTCACGGTGTTGTTTCTCGGTATTGATAGAGCATAATGTACGACAACAAACAATGATAATATGAGCTGTGGGTGGAGTGATACAGGAGGAATGGCGAGAAAGGGGACTTATGTCCTAGGTCTAATCCTGGCTTCTTGTGAGGGATTTGCCAGTTTGATGTTAACTTCGAGTTTGGGTGTGGAATTTAGAATCAGGTAGGCCTAGGTCCAGGGGGGTACCGAAGCACCTTGGCCTCGGCGTGGACCGATGACGCGCACTGTTCGCACCCGGCCACCACAGCAGGCTTGTGGGGCCCAGGGCGTGGCTGTCCGCCATAGCCGTCTGGATGAGGGGGAGGCACCAGCGATTGCAAGGGAGACACGTGTCGACCCCTGACAACCAGAAGAGCGTGTGGGGGATGGAGAAGGGAGTAACGGCAGTACAATGAACTAGACAATACGACACGAAGAGCAGACGGTGATCATCAAGATGGAAACGAGTTGTCCACAAAGGAGTAACGAGTAAAGTGAGGATAGATGAAGGCAGGCGGACAACCACATTGATATCTGGGTGACGGACGACGTTTGAAATACCTAGTTGACTTGGGAAAGAGCCAGTAAGCTCCCCTGCTGTAGAAAGGGGTCATGCACGAGAGGTGCACAAGGAGCAAGGGAGCGACAAGTGGCAAGTGCCTACAAACAAGACGAATGGAGGTGTGACGGAAGGAGGAATCCGGAGGCATACATATTGCTCATGTGCACTAGCGTTCTCAGGTCAGCTATGGGAGAGCAATTTCAAATGGCGGTCAATTACACTTGACCATGCGGCTGACATGGCAGTCTATTAGAATCGTAGGTAGACCAGGAGTTAGGGATCAGGTGGTGGATGAGGAGGCGAGCGGTACTGAATCATCAGGATAGGTCAAGAAGCAGCCGCAGTACGCAAACATTCGCAGGAAGTTGTACGTAGGCCCGTCGTAGGGTCAATTTTCGTTGACCACCAATATTCAAAAGCAATAGGAAGAGGTAGCTCATTGGGTCAGAGTAGAGGACGAGAGGAATAGTGAAGGGAGGGGAGGAGAGGGTGGGCAGGGGCTGCATCACTATAGGTGGAATATTTATACGATAGCTTAAGTAGTACTCAACAGGATGTATGAGTAAGTCAGGAGTCTGTCCAGGCAGCTGACGTGGCGGTCTATTAGACTCGTGAGTGGATCAGGAGTCAGTCTCCAGGCGAAAGATGTGGAAGTGAATGGTACTGAAAATTCAGGATAGGTGGAGATAGGCGAGCAGCCGCAACACGCAGACATTTTGAGGAAACAGTAAGTAGGGTCAATCACTGTTGACCGCCATAATCAAAGGTAATTGGAGAATGCAAGCTGGGGTATGAATAGAGGGCGGTAAGAGCAGTGAAGGGAGGGGAAGACGTGGACGTGGCTGCAATGCTGTAATAGGAGCGTTCATCAGCGATCAAAAAAGAAAGACTATCAGATCATCAGCACGATACAAGCAGTGCAGTGCTCCTTGTCCCTTCTCAACTCGCCCATATCCATATTCAGTCCTATTTCTCCCCTTCTTTCCCTCCAGCCAGTTCCAAAATTTGCAAGAATATAATTTATTTATATATCAATCAATTAATCAACCAATTAATCAATACCTTATCTAGTAACGAAAAGGAAAGGGAGAGAAGCTGTCTGCTAATTATGATGACGTTGTTCTTGGATTTATAATATTTATATTGATGTCAACTTCTACTGACTTCTCCTTCTCCAGAAAAATTAAAGGTATTAACGAAGTATTGAATTAATTGGCTAAAGAAATTTGTTGTAGGGTTGTTTAAAGGTCATCTTCATGGCAGGGAGAGTGAGCATTGCTGAAAACGGAATTGCGGCTAGCCAGTTTCTTCATCCCTTTGTTTCACATCTTTTAACAATTCCATTCACATACAGTTTTTGTTACCACGTCGCTGAGCTTTTGCATTCACAAATTATTCACATCTCGCTGCCTGGCCACTCATAACCATAGCTACAATCCGGACCCCCGGAAAGGGATCCGGACTCTCCGCGGTCTGGCATCCAGTACCAGTTCCTGGTAACCGGTCCGGATGGTGGGCCCCCAGGCCAATGGCCGAATTTCTTTTGGGCGGCCCAGGGCGTTTTTTCACGCCCTGGTTCGCCCAAAAAAAATTGGCCCATATTTTCCGGCCTTTGGCCACCATCCGGAAGGGGCGAAAATAAAATGCGTTCCTCGACTTCTGGCCCCACGTGCAGTTGGTTGGTGGGCTGTTTTGTTTTGCGCTAGCTTTGTTTCCATTCACGCTGTTCATAGCAGCCCTTTTCAGCGTGTTCTAGGCCGGCGCGGCACTCATGTTCAAATTCAAGTTCATAGCTGCGCATTTTAGTGCGTTTGGATTCAGTGCACAAAAGACCAAAAAGGTATGGTGACTTACCTGTTCTCTCTCCCTCTCTCTCTCTCTCTCTCTCTCTCTCTCTCTCTCTCTCTCTCTCTCTCTCTCTCTCTCTCTCTCTGTGACACACACACACAAAAAAAAAAGGTGGCAGTGTATATTTCCATGTTCTAGCGGAAGATTCATTCCGATTTTGCTCATCCTATCAATGGAAGTAGCCTCTCTCTATCTCTCTGCGCGCATGGCTAGACAGCAGTGTATAATTCCATATTCTAGTCGAAGATTCATTCCGATTTTGCTCATCCTATCGATGGAAGTAGCCTCTCTCTATCCCTCTGAGTGCATGGCTGGTAAACTCTCTCTCTCTCTCTCTCTCTCTCTCTCTCTCTCTCTCTCT